CACGTCTCAGTTTTCACAGACGCGTTCCTGTCAAGCTGGGAGGAATGTGTCTGTCCCAGGCAGTGGGAGCACAGTGGCTGGACCACATGTCGCTTCACATAAATGTGCAAGAATGTTTTCACAGTCTGAAACGTGACTCAGCATTTTGCCCCCTTGCTGCAGGATCAGCATGTTCTGATCCACACAGACAACAAAGTGATGGCAGCTTACATAAACCGTCAGGGAGGTGTGCACTCAGCCCAACTGTTACGCATCTCGAAACAGCTGTTGTGTTGGGCACACAAAAACATGCTCTCCATCAGAGCAGTGCACATTCCCAGCGTCCTGATCAGGGGAGCGGATATCATGTCGAGGGACGGTCCCCACCACAGAGACTGGAGCCTCCATCCCGAGCTGATCTCTCGGATTTGGAGAAAGTTCGGCTGAGCAGCAGTGGATCTGTCCGCCACATGGGAGAACGCCCAGTGTCAATTATGGTTCTCACTGAGCCCACGAGACGACCCATCGTTAGGAGTGGACGCCTTCGCTCACTGTGGCCAAAAACGCTCCTTTATGCGCTTATATCAAAGTGGACAGCTTTTCAGTGCTGGTACAAGGAGAAAGGTGTAGAGGCCATCTCATGTCCACTAGGTGACATGCTATCCTTCTGCAGCAGCTGATGGACATAAATCTAGCGTTCAGCACAATTAAGACTTATACTGCAGCTATTTCTTCCTGTCACAAGGGTTTCGACGACAGAACAGTTTTTAATCAATTCAAAATTCAATTCAAAAATACTTTCTTAATCCCAAAGGGAAATTATTTGTTGTTGTAACTCGTTATCCTCATTTCATTGAGAAGTTATAGATGCTGATGGGTGTAGGCAGGAAGGATCTCTTGTAAAGGTCCATCCCACAGTGGATCCTAAGAAATTGGCAGTAGATGTTGTCCGATCCTTCCACCCAGACTCTGCTGGCCTCTCGGTTCCCCCAGGCTATAGGACCGCCTGAATGTCGGGCAGAACTCCTCCCAGTGCAATGGCCACTCCTTCCAGCAGCCTGCCGAGCGCCTCGTCACTGCGGACAGCCAACTGTAGGTGCCAAGGGACGATCTCGTCCTTCTGCTGTCGTGAGCCATGTTTCCTGCTAGTTCCAGGATCTCAGTGGTCAGGCACTCGAGCACAGCTGGCAGGTAGATGAGAATGCATCCACAGAACATCCTTTTCAACTCATTTGAGATTTGGGGCTGTAGTTGAGATATTATTTGAGCTTTTGAGATGTTCATCAGCTACTGCTGGTTGTAGAAAACTGCCTTGAAGCATCATCTCACCTCCTTTGTCCCGTGCGCGCGCTTGCATGTTATATAGCATGCACGGCCCCACAGCATTATTATCAGTGTCAGTTTGTGCATCACAGGGACACCTCTGCAGATGGCCCTTTATCCACCCAGTGCCTCTCACACTGGCTGTGTGAGGCTATTTCTGAAGCTTACAGAGCATCAGGACTGGACCCTCCAGAGAATCTCAGAGCTCATTCCACCAGAGGGATTTCATCCTCTACAGCTTTGCATAGAGGGATGACAGTGGAGGACATTTGTACGGCGGTCACTTGGTCATCGCCTTGTTCATTTATTCGCTTCTATCTATGTGATGTCTCTGCCTTCTCCATGACTCATTATGTTCTCAGCGATCTAACAGAATGATTTTTACTTGTTTCGTGGAATTTCGTTTTAAGCTCACATCTGACTGCATGCAATTACAGTGCGAGACATTTATTATCAGTCACAAGTTCATGACTGCTGTTTTTATTGTTACTAATCAGTTCATGACTGCTGTTACCAATCAGTTCATTTGGTTACTAATCAGTTCATTTTGTTATTAATCAGTTCATACTGAAGAGCTGTTGACCTGCTCTGTTCATCGTTACATGGTTACAATTCATAACCTCTGTTTTTCCATTCTCAGCAGCAGGACTGCGTTTCAGCCGTCCCTTTTTCCCCATCAGAGACCTTTTCTCTCTGGGGCGCTCCTGTACATGGAACGTGTAATTATGCAGCGCGTAATTACGCACATGGAAAGCTGAGTGACGAAATGTTTTTTGGTGCAAGCGGGCGCTTCATGTTGTGTCTGAATGGACCCAGTGAGACATAGACTACATCCTTCTTCGCCTTTAACCCACTAGTGATAGCCTTAAAGGGCGAAGCCTATACGAAATAGAACGTTGGTTACGTACTGTAACCCCAGATTGTATGAGTATAGGCGCAGCCCTTTAAGCTCTGGGCCTCACTGGTTCTTAAATGGCTGAAGAAAAAAGCTATTTGGGAGCCGATTGCTCGGTCTCACCGTAATTTATACGGACCGGGGGTGAGGCCCACACAGCAGGTGGGTGTGGACTAAAGTTTTCAGTGCTGCGCGCGAAGGGATAAACCCACTAGCGATAGCCTTACAGGGCTGCGCCTATACTCATAGAATCTGGGGTTACAGTATGTAACCAACGTTTTACAGTTTATGTGGGTCATTAATAAAATTTTGATTATTTATTAAAAATACGAGAGAAATGTTTGATGGGCAATCACGTTACGTACATCAGGTATCAAAACAATGGCACCAATTTGTCAAAATAACAGCAATCAAAATTTCGAAAACACAGTTCAATTTACTTTCATTAAAAAGAAAAAGTATTCTGTACTGAGACATTGAGCAAGGTGCGGAGCAGGGAGGAGGATGAGAAGGCGCACCTGGTCGCAGTGTGGGATATACTTAACAACTAGTAAGATAAGAAATGATCCTGCACTTCATAGGCTACACTTATAAATCACACAAAGTGTTTAAAAGTAAATTAAATTAAATTCAGTTTATTTATATAGTGCCAAATCACAACAAAGTTGTCTCATGGCACTTTACAGGAACATTCACATACATAAAAAGCCAGTTAGTAAAGTTATTTATCTAATGAATCCAGCAGACAAGTTGAACTAAATTATAAATATTTATTGGTTTGGTGTTTTGACATTTGTGCGCCTAAGCATTGAGTTGTGTGTATGATCCGGAATCAGTGTTGGCCTCAGTGAACCTTGGTCTCACACCTATTAAGAGTTCCAGCATTGTATGGTTTACAAATTAAGCACTGATTACATGCATGTAGGTGTGAAACAGAGGGAAGCTGCCTGGGAATCAGGGGTAATGCTACACTGTAAAAGCAGAGCTTTTTAACGTGTTTCTCTTCCTTTTACTTTCCTTTGAAACAAATGTTATACTTTTAAATAGTGACCCCAAAAGCAGAAAGTAAAAGGAAAAGAGAATAGTTCCCAAAATGGACAGCTGAGCAACTGGGATGAGGACGAGCACCTCCGGCTGTGATCCTCATGTAAGAAAGGGTGGATAGTTCTTAGAGTTGGGAGTGAAGTTCTGCCTCAAGTGGACGAGTTCAAGTTCTTTGGGATTTTGTTCATGAGTGAGTGAAGAATGGAGCGCGAGATTGACACATGGATCAGTGCAGCCATTTTAGTAGTGTGTGCTTCGTACCGTCCGTTGTGGTGATGAGGGAGCTGAGCTGAAAGGTAAAGCTTTCTACTCACCAGTAGGTCTAAGTTACTACTCTCACCTACAGTCATGACAGAAAAAAATAAACATTCTGGATACAGGGAGATAAATGAGTCCCCTCTGCAGGGTAGCTGGACTCTCCCTTAGCAATAGGGTGAGACGTTCAGTTATCAGGAGAGACTCAGAGTACTCCTCCACGTCCAGAGGAGCTAGTTGAGGAGGTTCAGACATCTGCTGACGATGTCCCCATGCCACCTCACTAGGGAGGAGCTCCGAGCATGTCCGGCTGGGAGGTGCCCCCGGGGAAGAACAGGACACGGTCTCTTGACTGACCCAGGACCTCGGAGTCCTCCTGGAAGGAGAACTCCAAGGTATTATTATAAAAACAACTATTTTCTGTTACTGGAGCAGAGAAATCCTGTTTACTTTTCAGGCCCCATTTCAGCAAATCTTCATGAAAGTTTAAACATCCCCCCAAATGTTGGATTTTATTTGTCCCATCTCAAAAGAAAACTTAAAACTGTTCAGATGAAGAACAGCTTTTGCGATGAGTTAAAAATTCCATACACAGTTGTCCCTCGCTACACCGTCGTTCACTTATTGCGGCTTCACTCTATCGCAATTTTTTTAAACCCAGTTTCGTATATGTTGTGTACTGTACATGCTGTGCACTGTTGTACATTCATCTCATCGTCATATGCATGGCTAAAGTGTTTAAGAGCATATGAAGTGTTTGTAAAAGAGAGTGTTGATGTCATTAATCATTACCATGACCACCTGCTCCACTGTGATCAGAATCATTCTTCTCACCTGGTGGTCATAGCTTTTCAGCACGCACCTGTGCTCTATACGGCACCAGATTATAAACGTTTAGAGATTATCTTATGCTCCTGATTGATCCTCCATCCTGTTTGGCCTTGCCCCTGCCAGAGCCTGCCAAACTTCTGATTTCTGGACATCAACCTTTGACCTCCAAGTATTGCCTGAAACAGATAAGTAGTTTGAAGCCTGTCTGTCTGTGTATGACCCCTTCCTGTTCTCTGACTAACCCACTGAGTTCTGGACGGACCCAAACTAAGCAACAACCCCACTCAGGACTCCCTCGCTGTGACATCACTACTCTCTCCATCTGTCCCAATCCTCTGACATGCACAGACTTCCACCAGTCTTTTCAAAATAAAGCTTACTGAACGTGCTCTGTGTCTGGAGTAATTTTCAGGTCCTCTGTTAAATTCAATAAAGGGAAAGGTTAATGAGAAAGCGGGAGAGGTTTGTAGAAGTGTGGGAAAGGTTTAGAAAGCCTTAATATAATAAAAGAAACTTAACACTGCTACTTCGAGGATTTTCACCTAACACAGGGGTCTCTGGAACGTAAACCCCCGCAATCGGTGAGGGATAACTGTATATTTTATTATATTTCATATTATATGTATTAGTATTGTATGTATTATATATGAGTATATTTTGTCTCAGAGAGTACCTTTACCAGCATTCATTTCCTGGTAAAACCTAAACAGCACAACAGGAGAGTTTTCTTCATCTTCCACCTATTGAACAAATAAAAAACACAGATAAGACATGGAACACATCTGATTTACATAACCATTACAGTAATTTCCAGACTATTGAGCACACCCAAATATAGGCTGCGCACACTAAAAAAAAAAGACAAGTACAAACCGGATTCCAAAACAGTTGGGACACTAAACAAATTGTGAATAAAAACTGAATGCAATGATGTGGAGATGGCAAATGTCAATATTTTATTTGTAATATAACATAGATGACAGATCAAAAGTTTAATCTGAGTAAATGTAACATTTTAAATGAAACATATTCATATAGTCAAAATTTCACAGTGTCAACAAATCCAAAAAAAGTTGGGACAAGTAGCAATAAGTGGTTGGAAAAAGGAAATTGAGAATATAACGAACAGCTGGAAGACCAATTAACCCTAATTAGGTCAACTGTCAACATGATGGGTATAAAAAGAGCTTCTCAGAGTGTCAGTGTCTCAGAAGCCAAGATGGTAAGAGGATCACCAATTCCACCATTGTTGCGCAGAAAGATAGTGCAGCAATACTAGAATGGTGTTACCCAGCGTAAAATAGCAAAGACTTTTAAGTTATCATCATCAACCATGCATAACATCATCAAAAGATTCAGAGAATCTGGAACAATCGCTGTGCGTAAGGGTCAAGGCCGTAAAACTCTACTGGATGCTGGTGATCTCCGGGCCCTTAAACGTCACTGCACCTCAAACAGGAATGCCACTGTCAAGGAAATAACAGAATGGGTTCAGGAATACTTCCAGAAAGCATTGTCAGTGAACACAATCCACCGTGCCATCTGCCGTTGCCAGCTGAAACTCTACAGTGCAAAGAGGAAGCCATTTCTAAGCAAGCTCCACAAGCTCAGACGTTTGCACTGGGCCAGGGGTCATTTAAAATGGAGTGTGGCAAAATGGAAGACTGTTCTGTGGTCAGATGAGTCACGATTTGAAGTTCTTTATGGAACACTGGGACGCCATGTCATCCGGACCAGAGAGGACAAGGATAGCCCAAGTTGTTATCAACGCTCCGTTCAGAAGCCTGCATCACTGATGGTATGGGGTTGCATGAGCGCTTGTGGCATGGGCAGCTTGCATGTCTGGAAAGGCACCATTAATGCAGAGAACAAGTTCAGGTTCTAGAACAACATATGCTCCCATCTAGACGTCATCTCTTTCAGGGAAGACCCTGCATTTTTCAACACGATAATGCCAGACCACATTCTGCAGCAATCACAACATCATGGCTATGTAGGAGAAGGATCCGGGTACTGAAATGGCCAGCCTGCAGTCCAGATCTTTCACCTATAGAGAACATTTGGCGCATCATAAAGAGGAAGGTGCGACAAAGAAGGCCCAAGACGATTGAACAGTTAGAGGCCTGTATTAGACATGAATGGGAGAGCATTCCTATTTATAAACTTGAGAAACTGGTCTCCTCTGTCCCCAGACGTCTGTTGAGTGTTGGAAGAAGAAGAGGGGATGCCACACAGTGGTAAAAATGGACTTGTCCCAACTTTTTTGGGATTTGTTGATGCCATGAAATTTGGAAACAACAGATTTTTCCCTTAAAATGATACATTCTCTCAGTTTAAACTTTTGATCTGTGATTTGTGTTCTATTCTGAATAAAATACTAGATGTTGGCACCTCCACATCATTGCATTCAGTTTTTATTCATAATTTGTTTAGTGTCCCAACTTTTTTGGAATCCGGTTTGTATTCAATACTTCGCTATTTTTCACTTATCGTGGGGCTTCAGGGTACGGATCTACTGCGATAAATGAGGGACTACTGTATTTTTGCACCTTACACAATTTTTAATCTCTGCTGCTATTAAAAAAAAAAGAAGACAAACTTTATGGTGCTAACCACATTTCAGAATGTTTATACCTCATTTTCCACCTATACATGTACTCATCAGCTCGTGTCTCTAGTCTTGTCTCTTAATTACTTGTTTAGATTGAAATGTTTATATTAGGTTAGATGTATTTTTGCATTTATTACAGGTCTGTCTGTATTTATTGTACTGTTGTGTATCTGCAATGTGTGTTTTTTGTTTAGCACTTTAAGTTCTATGTTGCACCGTGATCCTGGAGAAATGCGGTTTCATTTCTTTACGTACTTGTACATAGCTGCATTTTTTTCATTCAAACTTTATTTATACAAGCTAGTCTCATTGAGCCATGAGAACTCTTTTACAAGAGGGACATGTTCCAATGAAATGACAAGTTCTCTGACTCTGAATCCTGGAGAGCAGAGGGAGCAACTTTATTTACGACCAGGCACAGTAGTGGAGCCAGGGCGTGGCCAATGGCGGTCTTGGACATCATAGATTTACCTTCAGCCACCCCAAGGGCCACCCCGATCATTTGAATATACAGTTTACCAATACAAAATAGTTTATTTAAATGATTGAGGTGGTTGGTTTGCGAATGCGTGCGTGTGTACACGCACACACACACACACACACACACACAAATACATGAGTATTGAAAAGTTGCTTATTTTTCAAATTATACAGCCCATAAGATTGAAATAGAAACATTTATAGTAGCAACAATATTGAATTTTGATGTGGAAACCCAGTTTTTAATGGAATTTTTCTGACATCAAGATGCAACCACTCCCCCAAAAAGGATATCCCTACCTGGCAGGTAAGGCAGCTGTGGCTAAGAAGTTGAAGCAGAGTGATTGACAAGAGTTGGGGGTTCAATTCTACCAGCAGTTACCTGTTGATGTGTCCCTGGGCAAGACACTGAACACCTCGTTGCCTCTGATGTGTGTCCCATTAGTGTATGAATGTGATCTAAAGCTCTGATTAGTCTCTACAGATTCAGATTGTAGAGATGTAGTAAAGAGCTGTATTATTTCGTGTGTGTGTAGTGGAGCGCTGTGCGAATGTGTGTCAAGTAGAGTGATGAACGAATGTGTGTGTGTAACAGAGTGATGTACACAGGAATACAGGTAAATACAGACCCTTTCCAAAAAATTAGAATATCATGGAAAAGTTGTTTAACTTCCATAATTACATTCAAAAAGTTAATCTTTAATAGATGACAGATTCAGGGCCCACAATTTAAATAATTTCAAGTATTTATTTGTTTACTTTTACATAATTTGGGCTTCCAGGTCATGAAACCCACGAAAACACATATGTGGGCACACGGTGGTATATGGTGGGATGATCATTCTCACCTCGGGGACCTGTGCCCACTCTCATATGTAGCATGTAGACATTTAGGGTTCTAGGCAAGGATTGGGGGGGTGAACGGTCACTGCCTGTTCTCTGGGGAGGGGGTGGTCTGTGCCGGTCGCCGCCTTATTCCCTCCATTTTAAACGCAATATATAACAACATGCATCAACACCTTATTTGAGTGGGAGGAGGGAGGAGTGGGGTCTTCTTGTTAATTATTTATATATATAGTTTTTTTTTTCCCTTACACCCCCGTTCTCCGTTTGACATTCGGGGTCGGGGGCAGGGAGGGGGTGGGGGGGTAGGCTGCCTGCTTGGAGTCTGGGCTGTAGGTGGGCTTTGGGCCTTGGGGAGCGGGGCCGGTGCTCCAGTTCTCCCTGGGTTGTTCGGATTATTTGATCAAGGTTCCTGGTTGCGGTGGCCGGCCCTTTGGCCAGGGTGGCTGCCGGGTTCCGGCAGGGGGTCGGCTGTGGTTGTGTGTGTGTGGTCGTTGGCGGTGTATGGCGGCGGTCGGGGCGTGGCTTCACTTTGACGGGGCACTGGCTGGTTGGCCTGGTGTGACATTCACGGTGGGGGATGCTGTGTGTATGGGAGGGTGCGTAGGTGGCATGCCGGGACTTTTCTGGGCCTGTGGTGTGGGGCTCTTGGGGTGCCTGGTCCTTGGTGCGCTGGGCCGACCTTCCTCAGCTGCTGCTCTGGCTCCCAGCCTGGGGCCAGCTTGCGGTCGCTGTTGGGTGGGTGGGGAGCATGGACGGCCCAACAGAGGCTCTATCGGGCTGTATGTGTGTGTCCGTTTATGTCTTGGGTTGGATTTTGGGTGGCCCCCTCTCTTGGATAAATTTGCCCCCGACCCCCCCATTTAATGTGGAGTCTACTTCCCCCCATTACGCTCCCCTCCGGTGGTGGGCCCCCCTGCTGCCGGTGCATTGGCGGCTCTCAGCATCTGAGGCTGGGTGATTGGGTGTGTGCTGGCCCACCCTGGCAGCTGCCTGCCGGGGCCTGGGTGCCTTGGCTCTGTCGGGCCTCTGTTGGGGGGTGGGATGACCTCGGGACTCGGTGTCCATGGCCGGATATACTCTGGAGGGGCAGGTTGCCGGTGGGGTCTGTGGACTCGTCGCTGCAGCCTCCTGGGGTTTCTGCATTGTGGTTGCTGGGGATCACCCGGGGCTTTCCTTTGCTTTTCTCAGGGGGGTGCGGGTGTCCCTGTTGGGGGACTCCCGGAGCCCCGGGCTTGGGGGCCGCTGTGTGTCTGTGGCTCCGTTCTTCCTTGTGTTACCATTGTGTCCTGTGGGGACGGATCTGTGGGTCCCCACATCCACTAATGAACATTTTTATGGAGAAACCTTATAGTGATAAGCATGCTCACACAGGTGTTTAGATTCAGGTGTTTATCAGATACACACTCAGTTGGGTTGTGGTGGCCATCAAATATATATTGTATTACCATGTACTGTGTCATTAGCACACTGATGGCTGTTTACTGTTCACAGAGGGCTGAGTGATACTAGCAATCACAGCATTGTAAGAGGGGGACAGTTGAACCCGTAGGCCTCCACCCCTGTTTAATGATGGACGATTTCTTTTCACAAAGATGGCCTCCTTTACTCCTCTCTCAAACCATTGTTCCTCTCTATCCAGGATGTGCACATCTTCATCCTTGAAAGAGTGACCGCTGGCCTGGAGATGAGTGTAGACTGCAGAGTCCTGGCCTGATGATGTTGATCTTCTGTGCTGGGCCATCCTTTTGGCCAGTGGCTGTTTTGTTTCCCCGATGTAAGACTGATCACAGCCCTCCTGACACTGAACAGCATACACAACATTACTCTGTTTGTGCCGGGGGACTGGATCTTTGGGATGAACCAGTCTTTAATGTATTTTGGGGTTTAAAAGCCACTGGGACGTTATGTTTAGAAAATAAACGTCTCAGTTTCTCTGATACTCCCTCAACATATGGAATGACCACTGGTCTGGGTTCCTCCTTTTCACCTGATGGCTGACTGGAGTCCTGTTTGGGTTTCTTCTCTGCTTTCAGGAAGGCCCAGTTAGGATATCCACATTGCTCTAGAGCCTGTTTTGTGTGGGATTTCTCCTTCTGCCTGGTTCCTGAGTTAGTGGGGATGCTGTCTGCTCTGTGGTACAGAGTCCTGATGACTCCTAACTTGTGCTCCAAAGGGTGATGGGAGTCAAACTGCAAATACTGGTCTGTGTGGGTGGGTTTGCGGTACACCTCAGTTTGCAAATGTCCTCTATCAGAGACTGAGACCTCACAGTCCAAGAAAGCCAACTTGCCATTTTTTACATCTTCTCGTGTGAACTTGATGTATTTATCCACAGAGTTGATGTGGTCAGTAAAATGTTGGACTTCCTGAGATTTAATTTTAACCCAGGTGTTGTCAACATACCTGAACCAATGACTTGGTGGTGTCCCTGAAAAGGACGT